AGCTGCCAAATCTCAAGAAGGTTGCAGATCCAATCTATGTGGAGTTTGTATGTTCTCGCTGTGCATGTGTGGGTTTTCTTCAGGTACTCCAGTTTCCTCCCACAGACAACAAAACAAGCATGTTAGGCTAATTGGTAACTCGAAATTGTCCCTAGGTGTGAGTGAGTGTGAATGGTTGTTTTTCTCTATGTGGCCCTGCGACAGACTTATGACCTGACCAGTGTGTGTCCCACCTCATGCACAGTGACTGCTGGATATGGACACCAGTGACCCCATGACCTGGAAAGTAAGAAGTGGGTAAAAGATGATGGATGCACTAGATGGGAAACTATTTATTACCTCATATTTTTACTTTAAATTTTCAAGGTAAATCTAAAAGGCACAAAAGTATAAAGATGCACAGTGTTGGAGATAGAGGATTGTATTTTTTAAGTTTTAAGAAAAATGAGTCTTTTTTATTTTTAAGAAAATGTCAGATTGGTGGAAAAACAATGATACTGATGTGTATAGAAAACTATTGACATAGCCAGTAGTTACTTGGTGCATGGAGGTCCCCACTCTGCATCACACACTTAAAAGAAATAAGTCTAATGTGGATGGGAAAATGGGGTCTCTGAAATTCCTTGTTGTTGGTTAAAACAAACCTCTACTTGTGGTTCCCCCACACTTCAAACCTTCTCGCCAACTCAGCTTTGTGACTACCTCTTTGACCTTTCAGAGTTGTAATGTTATGACTTTAAGCTTCATACTACCATGGTCATTACATAATGCACAAAAAATTAGTATTTCAGGTACAGCTTGAAAGTGCACTGTGAAAGGGACTAAACCAATTACTCAATTCTGGTCCTTGAGGTACAGTGTTCTGCATGCTTTAGATGTGCTTGGTCTATGTTTTTTTATATTGGAAAACAGCATTAGTTTGGCATACTGTTCTCATTGTTAGCCACTGCAAAACATGCACACACCATCGTTCTACTTAATAAATGAAAAAGGTCCCAGAGTTAATTTATATACAGTTTATTTATTGACATTAGAATCTGATCTAAACCGATTTCGGCTAAGAACTTATTAGTTTTTATACAGCTAAAGTGCCACCACCAAGCCACATCTTTGTTACTTTAAAAGACACAGCATTGTTTCCCCTAGTACTTGCCTTGGGAGGGCACTCGTCTCTTCTGAGTTTTTGTGGATGGGGAGTGAGAAGTGTAGCTCTTTGTTAGTAGGGCGCCCTCCTTGGATAATGGTAGGGGAAACGCTGGAAATGGAAATGGAACCATATCAGTGTGTGAAAAAAAAAACTTTACTGGTAAAAATATTCAGGTTGGTAGTTTAGGCTTACTTTGCTCACATTTTCTGTACTTGCATAAACTCGTTCAGGGTCCCAGGGACCTGTTGCCTATATTAACAGTCTATGGGCAAGAGTCAGAGTACATCCTGGACAGGCAGGTAGTCCATCATGAGGCCAACACAGAAACCATTACAAGACAGACAGCCATGCACATGGTGGTATAATCTATAGCACCCCAGTTTTACTTTTTTCCTCCCTCTCTCTTTTTCTCTTCAATGACTAGCACCATGACAACCATCTGCAATCTACACAGCATTCGCTTTGTGTAGGAGTCGAGGATTGGCAGACCTCAAACTTCCATCACAAGCTCCTTTGGTATTGTATTCCTCAGAAATACCAGTGAGCACAACTAAAAACCCATATGGATATCCTTATTGTTAATCTTACTCAACCAATTCCTTTCTTTAAAAAAAAAAAAAAAATAGTTACATTTTGTCCACTTAACATAAATTATATTCACCTTTGACTTTAAGCATTGCCAAGAAGCCCTTCAAACTAGTTCTTGTTGAACATACTCCAACATAACAAAATATATATTTTTCGGAGACTTCTTCTTGTATGTAGGCTAGCTACTTCTGGGCTGTAACCAGTGCATGAATGATGCTAATAAATTTAGCCCATATGTGAGGAGTGAGATAATGCAGAGAAAAACTGCTTTCCATAAAGAATACAAGTGGGAGAGTGGTGTCTTGACGCCAGCTTAGTTTAGGATCAGACCCTTAAATTTGGAGTTGCACAGAGTGTCAGCATGCAGTCTGTGGCACAAGTAAGGTGTTTTACCATTGTCCATTCAAGTGAACTTCAGTGGTGTTCTTGTGTCAGTGTATTGGACAAATTGAACCATTGTGGGTCAAGAGGATCAACAGCATTGGGGTAATGGACCAAACACTGACAATGACACCAACCTAACCTATTAATTCACATGCGCGATGGCAAGCTGCAATTTATTAATTGACTACTACATATAAGGTTATTTTTTTTTACCTAGTTCAGTTTGAACAAAATATAGGAAACGTTTAAAATTCTACTGGTTTACTTCAGAGGTAGGGCAGCCAAATTGGAACCAGAAAGTTGCAGGTTCACCACTGTGCCACTAACCACTAACCACTCAGGCTGAGTTGTTAGAGTAGTCGTCCTCCAATGTGAGAGTTGAGGGTTTGATTTCACCACCAGTCACATGCTGAAGTGTCCCTGGGCAAGACACGGAACCCCTCATTGCCTCCGATGTGTGTCCCATCGGTGTATGAATGTGAACTAAAGCACTGATTAGTCTTGTACAGATGAAGTAGAGTGCTGTATGAATAGGTAAATAAGGGCACAGATTGTAGTGTAAAGTGCTTTTTGAGTATCTTTATAAGATTAAAAAGGTGCTAGTACAGTCCATTTACCATTTAACTCCCGCCATGCCCACGTGTTGTGGTGTCCTTGAGCAAGACATCTAATCCCTAATTGCTCCCGGGGCATTTACATAGCTTCCTACTGCTCCACCTGGGTGTATCTCACATATGATGGGTTAAATGTAGATAACTAATTTTGTCGTTCTATGAGAACATACAATGATGATAACGCAGCACCAGTTGGGGCCGCTGTGGTGTAGAGGTAGGGCAGCCGACTTGGGACCAAAAAGTCTCAGGTTCAATTCTCCACCATGCCCACATGCCGTGGTATCCTTGAGCAAGACACCCAATTCTTAACTGCTCCTGGGCGCCTACATAGCTGCCCACTACACCACCTGGGTGTATCCCATGCGTGATGGGTTAAATGCGGAGCACAAATTTCATCATTGTATAGAAACATACAATGATGACAACACATAGCACTTTTTAAAAAACAATAATTAGTAGACTACAAGTATAGAGTACACATTTAAACACATCAAATGTGTTAGAATTCTTGATTATATACCTTAATTTTTAGGAAGTAAAAACAATATGGCACCATGATTGCACCAGCTAGAACTGTACGGTTACAGGATATTAAACATCTGTTGGCTCCTGTTCTCTCTTTCAGCCAGTAGTGGGCTTTAGGTCTTTTTCCTTCTCCCTTTTGTATGTGCTCAATGGGACCTAGTTCTTGCACACACATAACCTGCTGAAGGGGGTTGTAAGTCTACCAGCAATAGAAAAGTTGGCGCCATTTTATGTCAAGTCCTGCACACAAAATGTATGTGTGCAATATAACCCTTTGGAAGCCTGGTACATCCAAAGAATTCAGCAGTCTAGTGCTTAAACGGATTCAGATGCAGCAGTAGCATACACAGAATGGCTATGACATTGCTCAGGGGGCACTCAGCTCTGAGAGGAATCCAGTGCTCTCTGAGTCACACCATCAAAAGAAATTGCAGTGCACTTGGTTTGCCTTTTACAATTATTGGCACAAGTTAAAAGTATATTAATTAATACACTGGATGATCTAGAATTATTTTATATTCTCATTTTTGGGAGGTAAAAATAATGGTGTGGTCCAAGTCCACCAGCTAGAACTATGTGGTTGCAGGATAAACATCAGCAAGCTTGCATTTTCTTTTTCGGCCAGTAGTAGGCTTGGGGATCTTTTTTCTTTTCTTCCTTTTTATGTGTTCTATAGATCTTGTTCTTGCACACATCTACTCTGCTGAAGGGAGTTATAAGTGTATCAGCAATAGAAAAGGTGGCACCATTTTATGGATCCAGCACACAAAATGGATGTGTGCAACTTAACCCATTGAATGCCAGGTACACCCAGAGAATTTGGAAGGCTGGTCTTATTGATTGAGCTCACAAACCTTTTTTCCCCCCAAATGACTGCAGATACTGCAATAGCATGCACAGAATGACTATGACAGTGCTGTGGTGGGGGGTTTACTAACACTGGGGAGAATTCCATTGGTCTCTAAGTCACATCAAAACAAACTGCATTGCCTTTGGTTTGGCTTTCATAATTATTAGCATGAGTAAAGTATCTGCACATTTAAGTACGTTGGGTGGTTTGGAATAATTGTCAACTTCTCGCAACATACAAATGATGTAGAATCAGAAGTGCATCAGCTAGAACTGTATTGTTACAGGATGATAAACATCTGTAAGCTTTCCATCTTTTAGCCAGAAGTAAGCTTAGAAATCTTTTTTTCCCTTTTGTATTTGTTCTATGGGACCTAGTTCTTGCACATGCCCACTGTGCTGTGGGGATTGAAGTGGACCAGCGCTAGAAAAAGTGGCGCCATTTTATGGCAAGTCCTGCACACAAAATGGACGTGTGCAACTTAACCCTTTAAATGCCAGGTACACCGACAGGAGTCTGCAGGTTGGTCTTGGAGCACAAATGCCTGCATATTCTGCAGTGCATACACAGAATGGTTATGAAAATGTTCAGGGGAAGACACTAAAGCCCTGGGGAGGACTGCAGTGATAGGTGGATTCACACCACCACCACCAGAAAGCAGTGACTGAGCCTCTGGAAAGACTGAGTCCAGGGTGCACCCGTCCGGGAGGAGTCGTGCCGCAGCCACCGCGCCGCCAAACTATGGTGGGGAGGGCGCCACGGAGCACGAAGGGGGCGGGGTTTCTGAGTTCCTTCACCTTGTTATTGGTTATACGCAGATGATTGTATAACACACGAAAGAGTTCGGTCTTATTGTCCATAAATGCGCTAATATAGTGAAAGTAGGCGGGGCCAAATGTAGCGTCTCAATCCGGGGATTTACATGTTTAGTAATCGTCGTGGCGCTAAGAAGCTCGCGAGGCTTTCTGATTAACCGTCAAACGTCGCCTCTATCCGTAAAAACTCGGGTTGGAGGAAAAGAAAAGGTCTCGAAGGTTTTCATCGAGAATAAAGAAGACGTCGAGAAAGGGGCAACCGGTTTCTCTCTATGCTTATAAACAAAGCCGACGTGTCGTGCACCGTGTTGCAACAGAGACGGATAAGAATATCTGCAAGCGAAGCGCACGAGAGCAACGCGGAGCTCTGATCTGGTAAGGACTGATGAAGCAGAAGCCATTAGCTGTTGTTGCCATGCTAGTTAGCTTCTTGCTTAGCAGGAAGCTAGCTCCTGCTAGGACATCGGCTAACGCCAGTGTAAAATGTTCAAACACGTGGCCGGAGTCTTAAAACGCACCGCAGCTGGGTTTATGAGTGTTTTCTTGAACTTATTTTGTGTGCAGTTGTTTGTTTTGTCCGATGTTCAGGTTGCAGGCTGGCCAGAACCACAACATCTAACTGACTGAGGGTATCAGAGAAGGGCAAACCGCTATCAATCAGATGGGTACACGGAGAGCTCATTTTATCTGCTCACTTTTGCATGAATTATCACGTACAACAAGCCCAATGTGTTTTACTCATGTGTCATTTTATTAAAATGTTTTCATGATATTGATAGATAATATTACGAGCAAAATAACTCACTTGGCACTTTTATGCCTAGTTTCCTGACAAATCTTTAGTCGTTAAACTGAATTTCTATCATTAATGACTATTGCCGAGTCCTGTGTTACCCTATTTCTGATTTTTGTTTTAGAGGATACATTTAAAATATTACCTATACAAATAAATGCATTATTTTTTAGCTGCTCCATTTGTTAACAAATTTAAATTAATTGATGAATAAAAGTGGTCGCCAAGTCTAGAAGTTGATTTTAAAAAAGTGATTGTGAAATGAGAAATTAATAAGTGGGATTTTACACTAGATGAAATCATTACAATCTGGATTACGCAAAAACAAAAAAATGCAGATGCTCTTAGATTCATATTGTTGATTGTCATTAGGGCTGCCCATTTATTCTAAAGCCTAATTTTTGAACAAACTTAGTGACACATCTCTTTTTTTATTATTTCAAATTACCTAAAGTACACACATTGTCACTAACCTTTTATTCTTATAACTTCTTGTATTTGAGCGTTAAAGCCATCGTAAAAATAATTTACTTACTGTCAATGTTGTTTGCGTTTGCCTTTATCATCATCTGTTTCTAAAGATTCCTCTCCCCAATCAATGACTGGCTCCATCTGACAGGTGTGCAGCAGAAGCTGACTGTGCCAAATAGCAGGTAGTCAGATGATGTTGCATACATCACCATGCTCCTTTGTGATGCCCCTCCAGCCTAATGTACTGTATTGGTGGAAAACTGGCAGATAAGTCCACATTTCTGTCATCTTTGCCGAGTTAGTCATAATATGCGCATCTGTATTGTCTCTGGAAGCTCTTACCACTTAATATTGTATTGTCCTTTAAGCATATAAATACAAAGTTTGACTGAACAAAGCTATCTATCTATCTATATATATATCTATATATATATATATATATCTATATATATATATATATATATATATATCTATATATCTATATAT